CTAACTAAAGCACCACTATCATCTTGTTCAAAATCATAATAAAAATCTGTCTCATCCACATGTCTCTTGGCAAAATATTTAATCAATTGGTTACCATCACATCCTTCAATTTGGGCAGCTTTTTCAGATGACAATGCATTATAAGCATCAGAAGCAGTAAAACAAAGATTAGGAGATCCCCCAACCTCCTTCTTTAGAACCCTCAAAGAATCAGTAACTTTGACTCCACTCAATTTCATTGTTGAAATGAAAAGAAGCTGCTCTTTATTCACATCTCTTTGAGACCTTATCAAATGCCTTTTTTCAGGAGGAATCATAGCATGATTATGAACCATTTCATGTCTTGTACATGTATAGACCCCTAAATGATCAATATGAAACTGCACAAAAGCTAAACAACCAGTTCGATGATCCAACTTCTCATAAATCCTTTTATTCTTACACTTATTATCTTTGAATCCCTCATTACAACAAACAAATCTTTTCATCAAAAAAGAATCATCTCTTCTTCTCTTACTCTTCCCAATTCGAATTCCAAAACCTTTCCTAAAAGCATATTCATTATACGCTTCGAAAGCTTCATCTTCAGATTTAAATTCTTTATCCTTTAATTCAGACTGTTCTGCTTCTAAATACATAATATCATCATTTTTTTCCACTGCACAATATACAATTATAAATGATCATAAAGAGTTTCATGAATGAACAATAACAAATAAGTAAAATGTTCAATATCAAAACAGCACATGATCAATTGCAAAAAGAATTTCAGCACATAATATTTTGAACAATATTTTCATTATTTACCACTACACATAATATCGATATAAAAATGTAAAAATAAATGATCAAAAATGACTTTAAGACTGAACATAAACACATTAGTAACAATGAATAAGAAAACATAAACGATTAATTGAAAGTATAATCTACAAAATATACGACAAAAACACACAATTCTAAAACACAGAGAAAACAACAAATGAAACAACAAATGAAGCAACAAAATGTTCATACAAAGTACAACAATCCAAAAACGTTCATCATAATGTAATCAAAGTAGTAAATTCAAAAATCGAAAGTGAATAATAATACATCAATTAAGTTCAAATTAACAGAGCATTATAACAGAACAAATTAGGGATAATTAAAAATTGAAAAATTATGATCACAATTACTCACATTGTTGCACAAACGAATCAACGAAACGAAGTCCAGAAGGAAACACACGCTCGCAATCGCGATCAAAATCAACGCAATCTCCAGATGCAGAATTCGCCATTGATGATCGGTAACAATTAACGAATTCGTTCAAAAAATCAAATGAAGAAGATGAATTAGCGAGAGAAAAATGTAGATCAAAAATGGAGGTTGGTTGATCAATTGAAGAGAGAGAAAAAATAGGGTTTAAAATCATATATATACATAAATTGAATAATAAGAATCAAAGGAAAAAGGAAAAAAGAGGAAGAAAAGAAAAAAAGAAAAAAAGGAAAAAAAAAAAAAAAAAAAGGAAAGAATCGCAAAAGGAAAGAAGCTGCACATGAGAACTCAATACCAGCTACAAAACGACGTAGCATAGGGGGGGTGTAGGGAACACACCCTACACTAGGGTGTAGGGTAAAATTTTCACTTTGTTGTTAATGTTGTAATGGACCATGAAATTATCTTCAATAACTTTGTATCATAATTATGTAGTTTTGCTGCCTATTTGTGGCCCAAAAGATAATCGAAGGGAGGAACCAACATTTATTATACGGATTAATATCTACTTCGCATAACTCTATAAGGAAGCATCTTTTAACAACGTGCTTGGTATCTATACTTTTATATATTAAAAATGTTCCTAAAATAGAATATGTGCCATATGGTACCCTTCGTATGTATTAGATCTATGTCACATCTCTTTCCACATGTATTGTATGCCATATCATCCATTATACTATAAACATGTTTTAATTGCAATAAAAATGTTTATTACAAGGTTTGAACATAAGACCACCAAGAAATGAATTAATGTCCTTACTATCTTTGCTTTCTTTTAATTGTGTTTCATTTTTAATTATAACTAGCCTTCTGGCTTGTGCAATGCACGGGATGTTTATAGGTGTACAATATAAATTTTTATTTTATAATATGTTTTAATTGGAAAATGAATAGTTTATAAAGGAGAAGAAGGGGTGAAAATTGAATGTAATTGTAGAAGATAGTAAGTTGGGGGAAAGTGTGACCAGCCACATATAAGAATTTATGGGGAAAAAAAAAGAAGATAATTTGGGGTTAATTAGCTTTTTTTTTTTTTTTTGACGAGGTTAAATTAGCTTTAACAGGGGAATAATCATTGATTTTTCGTACAAATTATACAATATACAAATTCACTTGTACTACAGTGTATATTGAACAGGCTTCATTGCACTACAAATTTTTACCTACACCCCGGAGTAGGAAGAGCTGCCTGCACCCCCCACTCCTTCCTAATAACGTCATCTTGGTTGTTTTTTCAGTTCTGAATCACCTATAAAATGTTCATTTTCATCACTGTAAATGTTCACTTCTATATTTTTAAATGTTCATTTCTTTAGAATAATTATTAAATGTTCAATTATGGTAATACGACATGAAATATTCAAATTATTATATTTTTGTATTTGTGCTTCTAAATGACTATTTATAGTAGTACTCAAGGAAAAAGAAAAAGTTCATTTCCTTCCTAATAAAATCAAAATGAAATTATATACCACCAAAATTAAAATTGAATCAATCAAGGATATTCCGTCGAAAAAGTCGTTTTTCCTACAAAAGGGTTTCCAACAACCGATTCCGACGGAAATTCCGTCGGAAATGGGTTTTCCAACAGAATTCAGGGTGATTCCAACGGAATTTTTCCGTTGAAAATGGCATGTTTTCTAGTAGTGAAAATTTGAACAATTGGATGTTATAATATACAATACAACTCCACATATATTATCAAACACAATAAGCTTCTCGATCTAAATTCGAAAAATTCAAGCTTGTGTTATTGGTTTATGTTGCTTGGCGACTCCATGCCTTCTTGGTTTCTTTCTTTTTGTCATCTTCCTTTTTTCCTTGCTATTGTGCGGTGTAACTCACTATATGCACAATTCTTTTTTAACTAATAAAAAAAAAAATATTGTATTAGATTTGAGCAAGAATAAATGTTGAAATGAACCAATTTTCATATGAACATAAACATGGATGAGTATAAAAATGGACATGAACGATATGAAAATTAACATCTATCAGTATATATATGAACATATATTAGTGTGAAAATGATCATCTATTAATATGAAAATGAACAACTATAAATACATAAATGAACATATTTACGTGATTCAATATGGATATGAACATCTATTAATATATAAATGAATATGTATTAGTTTGAAAATGATCATGAAAGATAATGATCGATGAGCATATACATAAAATATATACGTAAATAAACACTCTTGAAGTTATCAATATGTGATTGACCATATATCCATCTGAGAAAAGACAATATTTTGAAATTCAAAATTAAAATGAACATGAATATTTGAAGAAGATGACAAAAACATGAACATTTATCAAAATTTTAATAGTCGTATGTTAATATGTGAACTTGTGAATGACCATATACTATTATGTGATTGAAAATCTACCAACATAAAAATAAACATTTACCAAAATATTTTTTCACTCCAAACTATAATAAAGAATGAACATTATTACGTGAATGACTATGTACTAATATATAAATGAACATTTATATTAATCATATATTAATATGTGAATTGCAGTATACTAATATATAAATGAACATTTATCAAAATAGAATATTCATTAAAACAAAATTCACTACGAACTAAATTTATTAATACTTACATTTCTCCAGAATATTTGTTTTTCTTCCCTGAAACTGTTTCCTTTATTTTGCTAAAAAAAAAGGAAAAAAAAAGTATTGGCTTAATTTACTAGTTTTTGAACAAAAATTACTAGAACTATAGTAAAATACTTATGTCGATACATTTTCCATGGTTGATGTTTCAATTATGTTCTTGAAATACAATCGTATTAAACAAATTAGTAAACCTAGGGTTAATATTTTTTTTTTGTTCCAAACTTGAACAAAATAACTTACTTTTTTCGAATTTTGCCTTTGTTTTGTTGAATTTCGAAGTGATTGAACAATTTCTTGTGATAATTTTTTTTAATTTTGTAACAATTTTGCCATTAAAGCTTTTGATGAGAGAGAAAATGGCTGAGAAATAGGTGAGAAGAGAGAAAACGGATGAGAAATGGGTGAGGAGAGAGAAAATGCAAATGCAGATGGAGGTTTTGAATTATCATTTTTTTTCTCTTTTTTTTTTTTTTTTTTTTTTGTGCATATATAGGGGGTAATAAAAGCAGTTAGTGTGCAGTGGCTATGGAGGCAGGGGGATTAAACGTAGTGTTTTGATGGGGGTGCAGCCGTGTAGGTAAAGTTCCCTACTCTAGGATGTAGGTATAGATAATTACCATTGCACTGAATATACACTAAGATATGAGAGACCAAAAGCCCACAATACTGTGATTACAAGCCCAATCCATTCATTGTCAGAGTTTTAGCAAAGTACATTACATTACTCGTAATCTCGTATAATCCAAGTTTCATATACTGTGATGTGCAAAGAGGCAAACGGGTTGTTTGGATACTTTAGATACGGATGAGTGGATGACAAGTTATTTTGGTTGGGCAGTTTAGTTCGTATAGTCATATAAATTTCGGTTCAGGTAAAAAAACGAATCATCCAATTTCGAGTACAGTCAAGGCTTAAGGGTCTAGATTGGGTCAGTTCTATCAAAAAGTAATTACTATAGTCTATAGGTACTAACATGCTGCAATACACCAACTTCTAACCTTCTGTTTACCTTGTCTTTGCATGAGGTGTTTCTTTGCTGATTACCTTCTCTGAGATAAATTACAAAATGCCTCAGAAAGATGCAATAGTGCAGTATGATGCTCAAAATTGTCATGCATAATGGCAAATACCTATCGTTGTCAAGGAAGCTAGAGCAGGTTAAGAGGCTGTCTAAGCAACACCGAAACGATTTACAGGATAAAAAGTGAAACAAATGCTACATGATAGCTATAATCACAACAAAACTAAAAAATAAAAAAAGAAGGAAACCTTAATCTACTCTCAAACAGAATTTCTTGAATTTCAACAGCGGTAGTCAGCATTAAACCTAAGGTGTTTTATAAGAAGGGAGGTGAGCTGCCTCTGGAACAGCGCGATATATTGAGACATCAAAGATAACTGGCTCATCCTTTTGGCTTACCAGTTTAAACAAGCAGACATCAAATTCTTGCAACAAGTTATCTACAGCGAAGTTGGACCACCCAGAAATGAAAACCCCGCCTCCATACCGTGGCTCAGCATTAAACCTCACAGTCCAGTTTTTGCCATTTGCACGGAGCTTCATATCTTGGTGTTTCCGAGTAAGATAAGTCCTTGACCATGGTGCAGGAATACCCTGCATACGGAATCAGTATTAAGTAGACAAAATCTAGTCAGCAAGACCCATTACATTTGTTTCTAAACACATCACAATTCATAACTAAAAAGAAGATCCAAAATCGGATATTGGGTTTCACACTTTCACTACAGCAATAATCACAACCTAAAACCAATCCCAAATTTTAGTTCACAAATGGACCCCTGAGGACTCAGTGAGGAGTATTCGACAAGTAGGCATTGTGGCGGGGTATTTTACTTTTGGCACTTTCAATATAAAATCAACACTGAGTTAGCAAATTTACGAGGAAGAAATAGTCAATTACAGAGTACCTTGTGAGCGTTTAAAATATTGGGGGTATCTTATGGATTACGACAAAGTACCAGAGTACATGGAGTAGTTTACCCTTGATTCAACCAAAGGAATTATAGACTCACTCCTGCCTAGAGATTAAGGCATTGTTCTTCTAGAATAGAGAGAGGCAATCTTTATAAGACTGATACATAACAAAATAAGCACAGTGATTACAGATGATTTGTCGAGGAAAATAGCCTTAAAACCCCATATTTTGCCAGATTTGCCTAAAGTAATGCCTGTTTTGGATTCCACCAAAGTAATCCCTAATTGAGGCATACTTTGTCAGTAATTTCAGGTAAACTGGTCGTGGTATGAGGCTTATATCATCTCTTATTTTTAAACAACAATGGAGATATAATTAAAGGCCATTTTTGCTCATATTGACATAATTGGCAGGAAACGGAAAGAGTTATCAGAGAAAGCTTACCAAGCGATAGTACTGGGAAACATTACTATCTTTCAAGACAACAATGAAGCTTTCAACTGTCAAATTTCGGTTCGCCATTTGCAGTGCTCTCTCTTTATCTGCTTCACTCGGGGGCACTCTATCTAGTGTGTCATCTGTGCTACGGTTTTTTTCTTCAGCACCACTATTTCTTAAAACAGTAGAGTTCCTACGATTCTTCCTCCTTGAGGCTCTGGCAGAGGCTCTTTCAGTGTCCGAATCTTCAAGCTCTGAATTGTCCTTATTTCCTGTAGCCATGGCAGAACCTACCATTGTATTTTTTCTTTTTAACTGAGAATTTTCACCTGCACCATTTTTTTCAAGAGCAGATTTCTTGACAAAATATGAACCAGCTACCTCACACAAGTTCCTTCCGCTCAACACCCAAACCTTAAAGCAGGAATCACGGGTGTACTTGAACATGAGCAAGTCATTTTCTTTCAAGTTATGCGCTTTTGCAAACTCTTTCCATCCATCTTTGAAAAAAAGGGTGTTGTTATTATCCCTCACAAGTTGTACCTCCCATGTAGAGCCCCCAGGGCTTTTGAGGACCACCATTTGTGGTAATTTATTCCACATGTTTTCAGAAAATTCTTTCGGAATCATCTGGTAATACATAGGAATACATAGGGAAAGGAAATGGATTTCAGACATTCATCCACAAATGTTTTGATTTATAAATTTCAATCCCATGCTTCTCACAACATGACTGATTATCAACGATGAAGAAAATGTGCAGTAATTACACAATCAGGGTAAGTAAGCATGTCACTCCAATTACAAATGCAACGAGACATGTATCCACTTCTCAAAAGTGCAGTGCAGCAACAAACAAATACCACCAATAAATGTTCAAGCAAATGAAAAATTTGACGTCCGTTACAAGAAAATGTATCGCAAAGGCCATTCTTGACGTCATATGAAGTTATGAACCCACAAGGCATTACTGCTCAATTTTGTTACAGTAGATATATATAGAGTTATAGACAATATCCAACCTTGATACTCTATAAAATCGATATCCCATTTCTTAAAATTAAACATCTATAATGAACTTTTTGCATGCAAGAAATTCCTAAATGGCTCTTGTAGTAAACAGTTTAAAATCACAGGAAAGATAATATATTTGTAAATAAATTTGTAAGAAAAGCTCATGTTCATTAGCATAGTAATGAAACTCTATCCCCAAACATGTGTTTTTCATCAATAACTTTACATTATCACTCGATTCCACCTCTCAAAGTAGTAATGGATGGTAATGAAAGTTTATGAAGAAAATGAAGTACTAACATTATCATGGATAATGACATAAGATTTTCTTCACAGATTTATAAACAAACTACCATTCCTGCAATCTATGACCACTTTCCAAACAAGATTAAGAGTCATACCGCAATAATCCAGATGGTACAAGACCTCCAAGCTCTTCAAATTTTAAGAAGATGAATTGGCAAAAGTTATCTACACATCTATTCTTCGAAAAATCAATAACGATACACATCTATGCTTCGAAAAATCAATAACGTCAAAATAAAGAGCTAATCTAACCAATCTAGCCCCACCAATAGCTACAATATAATACCAGTGCGCTCAATTATCTTGTTGTAGTTGCCTAAACATATTGAAAGCTTCTAACAATTAAAAGTTTCTCATAGTACAACACTGTCATTAAAATGGCAATGGGAAAACATTAGTACAACATAATACATGCATTTTTCATATTTGTATAAAACACTACATTAAAATTTTCCATGATTTCTTCTAGTATACTACGTATATGAGAAGATAATTATTTGATAAAACTAGAGGAATTACTACATGCACTCCTAAAACACACCTGTTCAAGACAAATTCTTTTCATAATTCTGAGGTTAAATTATGCCAATTCTAAACTACGGAATACATTGATTTATTAAATCAAACAAACCCACAAACCCTCACTCCCAAAACTAAAAACTAATTACAAAACAAAATTAACATGCAAATTCAAAAGAATTAAATAATAGATGAAACAAACAGCAACAAATATAAAAATAAAAAATTTGAAAAGCAGAGAGAGAGAGATTACAAGTTGGGAGTGAAAATCGGAGGAAAGAAATTGGAAGAAACGCAAAGACTTGAAATTGGTCCAGTAAACTTCTTCCTCAAATGATCTGAATCCGCCATTTTCACTCCTGCTAACCCCATTTTTGGTGCACCCATTTTTCCCCATTAATTAAAATCTCACCGAACTGATCACAATTTTACTTACTGCAATTCTGCAAATGTAAACTATAGAGAGATGAAAGGAAGACCCTTGAAAGGAGTAAATAAATTGGAAATATTACCATTTACTCCCTTCGTCCCTAATTATTTCAGCATTTTCAATTTTGGTATCCCATAATGTGTGTCCCATAAAATTTTCCGATTATACCCTTATTAGAAGATTTGAAAGACACAAAATACTCTTAAATTTTCTTCACAAAAAAAAAAATCTAAATTTTTCATAAAAAGAAAAGAGACATTATATCATATCATATCACTAATAAATAAAATCGGTCTCGTAGCCAGGTCACGAGACAGCATTGACATTCCAGTTTTTCGTCAAGTATCGCGCCACGTAGGCGATAAATAGGTATTATTGTGATTAGATTAGATGTCACGTAAGATTAGATTGGATAGATTTGTTTAGGATAAAAATGTATGCATAAAATAATTTATAATTCTTCTGAAAAAAAAAATATCTTTTTCTTTGACAATAAAATTTTACTTATAGCAACACACTACATATTATAATTAATATGAATATCCAATTAATAATATAATTTTACACCTATACGGATAAGCACGTAATTATAATTATAAATATAGTCATGTATCATTAATTTTCTTTACCTAACATTTAAAAAGTATAAATACTAATTATTATTATTATTATTATTATTATTATTATTATTATTATTATTATGTGGCTGGCCTTATATGTGGCTAGCCACATCAATCACCTCCACAACCTCCAAACCTTAATCCTCAAAGCTCCCTCGTCCTTTTCGACAACCCTTCCTCCTTCCAACTACTCCCAACCTCCACCTCCTCCGCCGCCGTCTTCGTCGCCGGTAGATCTACCTACACCGTCGTTTTGATTTCAAATCTGCAGCATTCAGTTCAGATGGTAGACTTGATTTAGAATGACGGCAATCGCAAAGGTAGATGGTAGTTTTGAATCAAAATAATGGCGATCGCAAGGATTTGAATTAAGGTAGATGGTAGAATTTCTCATGCTATTTACCTCCAACCATACAACACCTTAGAGAATATTTATGTTTTGCATCTTACTTTTTTCTTCTTATTTTTTGTTTGGTTAGGGGTTACTTGGTCGGGGTTTACTCGATCGGTCGGGGGTTACTCGGTCGATCGGGGTTACTTGGTTGGGGGTTACTAGGCTAGGGGTTACTCGATCGGTCAAGGATTACTTAGTTAGTCGGTGAGGGGTTACTAGGTTGGTCAGGGGTTACTCGGTCAGTCATGGGTTACTATAGGTCGGCCAAGGGTTACTAGGTCGGTCATGGGTTACTAGGTCAGTCTGGGGTTAGTTAGTCAGGGGTTACTTGTGTGTTAGCTGGCCACACGGTGTGTGGCCAACTCCCTACGTGTAACACCCCCAAATCTCTCTCTACTAAAATATTAGCATAATACGTATAATTATACCGTAGAGATAGAGTTAGGCATATTACCGCCACGTGATTACGCAAAACTACCAAACTACTAACCAGAACCAATACTTTGCAGCGGAAACTCAAACTCTTTCTTTATTAATAATAGTTATAAATAGAAACCATTGTCAGGAATACTCATAATAAAAATAAAGACCAACATTCCTAATTTTAGGTGAAGAACATCCCGGGACTCCCATATGCTCAATTATTGACTCCACCTGAAAATAGTTAACACTGCTTAAAACAGGGCGAACCAAACAAATAGAAAATACAGGTTAGCAAAATATGCTAAGTACAATAAGTGCAAGATAAGTAAACTCAATTTATTTGCAAACATGCTTTTAAAACCAATTCCGATAATTAATTCAATAATTCCAAACCCATTATTCCAAAACCAATTCCAATAATCCAATAATTCAAATAAATAATTAATAAAACCAATTCCTCTTTTTAAATTTAATTCCTCACCTAATTTTGCTCACCCCCCAAGCTAGTCTCCTACTATTTCAAGGTTATTCTTGAGGTTAGACTCGGTCATACAAAGTCCAAAGTCTTATCAACCAAATCCGCATAGTACGATTACTATCAACATGCTTGTAAAGCTTTAATAATAATAATTCAATAATTCCAATATAATTCAAAACTCCTTTTTATTTAATTCAACATGCTTTCAAAATCGAACCTTTAAAACATGATAAATAATTTTAATCATTAAAAACATGATATAAAAATCAATCCTCCAATTTATTTATCAAAACCAATTATTTGAACATGTTTTTATTTCATAAATCATAATTCAATTCAACTTAATTAATTCAATTATCACAAAAATCATATAAAACATGCTTATTCAATCCAATCAATTTCAAAAGTATCTAACCACCTAACGTACCTTTGATCTTTGTTTAGCACACACAAAAGAATTTCAAGAACTTTGATCAAACACACCCTACAATTAAACATAACCTTAAATAATATAAGGTTAACAAATAATTACAACAATTAAATTAAAAACCCCCAACTATATATACATGAACCTTATAAATTATTTTTCATAAACTTGAATAAAAATCTGATTTTATTCAATTAAATCTACTCATAATAATTTTTATAAATCCCCCGTAATAATAATAATTAATTAAATAAGAGAAGAGAAGAAGACAAGGTAGAAAACCAAGGAAAAAGGAGAAGAGAGGTGGCGACAAGGGCAACAACTGGTGGCTGCCGTGGCTGTGATCGGCGGTGGTGGTCAGTGGCAGGTGGCAGCCAGAGGTGGAGGGTGGTGGTTGTGGTGTTTTGCGCAAGAAAAGGTGAGAAAAGAGAAGAGAATTAGAGAGTTTTGGTGTGAGTGTTTAGCCATGAATCAAGGGGTACTTATAGGCTAGCTCAAGCAAGAGTTATGGTAGGAGAATGTAGGAAGAATTATGGTAAAAAGAATTAAGGAAGTTACTTGGAGAAGAGGGCTAAAGAATTATGGAAAGTTTAATATTAAGGTATCTAAGAAATAATTAATTTAAGGAAAGTGTGTTGTCATAAAAAAAATATGGCAAAAGAGATTGCTTGAGGAATAATCAAGGATGAAATAAGGTAGGGAAATAAGATGATCAAATATTTAGAAGATGGAAAATAAGAATTAAGGAAAAATAATAAATTTAAGGGAGATAAATAAAAATACAATTTACCAAAATAAATCACCCAAAATCCAACCATGGTGGTCAAAAAATTTTGAGCTTCCATAGCTCAAATTTTCAGACCATATAAGTAGTATTTAGGAAATTATTTTTCTAGATTTAAGGGATTAAAAATAATTTTGTAAATAATATATGTTGTATAAAATAATTAATTAAGAGAATACCAATTATTCACTAAATAAATTAACTAAGGAAATCAGATTTTCCACACTAGGAGAATCCGAAATTAATATCCAATTAGTAGGAGTTTCTGGACCTCCTAATTTAAATAATTAAAATATTATCTTGCTTAATTAAAATATCCGAAATGTATATAAATAATCTGGTTTTTAAAATAAAATAAATGGATGATAAATCTTATTCAAAATCCAAAAATAATAATTAAGTTTTAAAATACTCTTGGCGCCAAAATTCAATATCATTTTGGCTCCAAAATTTAAATAGTAAAATAAATTACTAAATTGCCCTTTTTAGAAAATAATAATTAATTAATTAGAAAATACGTATAAAAATACAGGGTATTACACTCCGTCCCTAAAAGAACAACCCTTTTGGCCAAATTTTAGTCCCAAAATGTTCATCCCAATTACATTAAAATACCCTCCAATTTACAATAATATTTGTGCAAAATTAGCTTCCCTATGTAAATTTTGCTTTTTCCATATATTTTTATTACTTTCTCTCTACTTTTTTGCAAATCTCATGTAAATTTACCTTTTTCAATGTTCTTTTATTAACTTTTCTATACACTTTTATTTACTATTTAAGTTTCTTAATACCTGTGAAAACTCTCCAAAATGGTCGTTCTTTTTAAGACAGAGGGAGTACAAAACATGCCTAGTTGCCCACAAATAAGTACACTCTCAAAAATGGGTATTCGAGGCAACGCGCGGGACACGTACTAGTTATGAAGTAAAGGGAGTATAGATTAATATGATATGATGATTAGCCTCTCTTACCTCATGATCAACTAAAACAAGCAATTAAGAATCTCTTTTTTAGTCATGAACAAGGTTCTCACAGGTTCACAAGAAAACTCAAATTAAATATATTCCTCAAAAAAACAAAGGGAAAAAAAAATAACCGATAGACATAAATTCTAGTAAAAAATCTAATATATATAAATAAAGTAGGCATTTTTCGAGAACATTCAGAGCGCCACGTAAGAAATATAATTATTTCGACCAATAAGAAAAAAGATTTGTATTTTATTTTTGAATTAAAAAATTGTATCGCCATCTAGATAAAAGTAACGAATTAGATTTGATAAATCTAAAATTTTAATGCCACATAGATTATAATCCACGAATTAAATTATTTTAATCTAAGAAAATAAAGTAAAAATATAGGAAAAGATAAATTCATTAAATCAATACTACGAATATAAGAAATCCAAAAAAAATATACTAAAAAATATTTAAATGATAAACTCTTATAATAAAGTTTGAACCTATCATTATAAAATAAATTTTAATAGTACTTATGATAAGAAATACAAATTGTTCGTTAATATAATTAAATTAAAATTTGTAATACCTACTAATAAATTGACACATCATACGACACAAACAAAATTTCGTATCAATAAAAAACTCCATCAAGCAAATTTTGTGTCAGTAATTTTATGTTAATTTTTGGTCATCAATGGCCGGGTAATTTTTAGCTTAATTTTTAAAATCCTATGTTTATATTGATGTTTCTAATTATTACTTACATTGTATTAATTTGGAATACTCAACGATTATATGTTTATGTTTTATTACTAAATATTTTTTTACATGCAGATTTAACACATCATACGACACAAATAAAATTTTGTATCAATACAAAACCCCATCAAGCGATTGGAAATAAAATTGCTTATAGGATTATGCCACGTAGGATTATTATTTTAAAGCGCCAAGT